GAATGAGACAGGAGCGTCCCACAGGGAGGGTGCCAGCAGCGTCCCAGCTCTGAGAGCGGCACCAGGGGTAATGATCCTGTGCTGAGGTAGAAGCTGAGAGACCCCTCCCGGGCATGCAGCTAGCCGACTCATGAGAACGAGATCTAGAACCACAGGCCTTCCTCTTGAGGAGGCCTCTCCAGGTTGGGAGGGACAGTGAGCTGGGAGGTCGTTCCAAGTGGCTTCTGCCACCTGGACCCCAGAGCCGTGGTTCCTTCTCACTTTCTGGTCCACATTTGGCAGCAACTTCCTCCTTGGTCCCTGTAGCACAGGTGAGACAGGCTGGAGCACCAAATGTTACCAAAGACTAAAGGAGGTCAAAAGGGCAGTGTACACAAAGCAAAGATATTTTGGATGGTTGGTGCTGGTGGCTGGCTTGCTCACAGGGCACAAAGGCCCTCATATGAGGGCTGCCTGAGACCTCGCGCCCTAAGCTCTTTGTAAGGACCGGAGCGGCCTCCCCTGGTCCTGCCACTTCCCAGCCCTCCCATCTCCACCAGGCAGGAGCCACTCCAAGGCTCCTGACGCCTTTATGAGAAACATGCAAGTCCTATCCCTAAAGTCATAACTTTGTGTCTTCTGAGAATCTCAGCATTAGGTCAGGTCACATACTTCTAGAAATCAGAGCTATGTGATCCCTAGTCCATGGGAGAAACAGCCTTTGCCCTCAAGAAACTTAAATAGTGCTCCACGGTATTTGATTAAATACTAACATGCATTCATTCAACAAACATACATTCAGTACCTTCTGGTGCTAGGAACAGCACTAGATGGTGGGGATACTGTGATAAATACAACAGGCAGTCGCTGGGTCGTGGCGCTTACAAGATGGGGGAGGGAAACGGCGAGCAAGTACCCCAATGGGAAGGGGACCGGGTGGCTGTGAAAGCCTTCGGTGGCCTAGGTGGTGAGGAATGTCTGAGTTGAGCCTGAAGGACAGGGAGGAGCCCGCCAGGGGAAGTGGGTGCAGAGGTGTGAAGGAGAGGGTGTCTCTGAGTAGGGCAGGGCTGGGGGCTTCCAGCAGGATTTTTGGTCTAAGTTGGGCCTTGAGGAAGCAGAAGGAGCAGTAGTGATGTGGGAATGAGACTTTGGGAGTAGCGGGGTCTCCAAATTGTGTGAGAAGGAACTGGGGGGAGAACAATGCCTTTGGAGAGGCTGAATTTGAGTGGCTGGCCAGGCATCCACGTGGAAACGTCCGGGAGGCACTTCCAAGTTAGATAAGTGCCGCTCGGGCACAAGTGAGGAGGGGGTGAAACCCAGTCTTCTGAATAAACTACAGAGAAGGGAGACTGGAGACCGAGGACAGGTGCCGGCACACCTGGGTGGAGGAAGGGAGCCAGCCGGGAAGACACGGAGGATCAGAGGTGCTCTATGGGGACTCAGAGGACAATTCTCCAGGAGGGGAAGGGGGGTGGCTCTGAGAACTGGGCAGTGAGCACCGATAGCCCACGGGAACGGGGAGCATTCAGAATGCATTGTCTCTGTCTTTGCTCCTCTCTTAGAAATGCACCTCCTCTCACCTTACTGACCAAAAATACCCGCGGAGGCCCCAACAGCAGGTGTGCAGCAGCTGGCCTTTCCTGGGGTTTCAGAGGGAGGAGGCACAGGTTCTCAGCCTGGCATTAGTGGCCACCCATCCCGGACAGCTAATGATGTGACGCCAGCCCTGCCTTTGAGCTGCAGAGATGAAAGCAGCCACAGGCAGCCGGGAGTGGGCCAGCGGTGGGGTGAGCGGGCAGGGCCAAGCCTGCCTGCCAGCTTCCCACAGAAGGGAGCTCAGAGCTTGCCAGGAGTGAGAGGAGGCCTCTCCGCTTCAATAAGTGGGGCTCAGAGGAAGCTGTACTCCACTCAGAGGACAGGCCCTTCATACATTGTGGACAGCAGGCCCCTGGCATCCAGCACCGCCTGCCCAGGGCCGGCCCCTGCTTTGGGCCGGGCCGGTCCTCACCAGACAGGTCCTCACCAGACAGGCGAGGTTCTGGCCCCTGGAGCCTGGGCCACACCCAGGGAGCAGTGAGGAGGCTCCAGAAACTGAGGTGTGGCCTGACTCAGGAACACCCGCACCTACCACTCCCATTAGCCTTTTCTATTGGCTTGACCCGCCTCTTTCAAGCCGTAGCCTCCCCATCTCTACTTTGACAGAAAGATGTAAACTTTGTGGGGAGGGGTGATGGGGAGAGGAGTGAGTGGGTGAGAACAGACACAGCTACGAGGGAGGCAGCCGTGAGGAAGCACGCAGAGTCTGGAGTCAGGTGGCTATTCTGACAATTCACTTCCCTTCTTGGAGCCTTGAATTTTCTCATCAACAAGATGGAATGAGGGGTTGGAGGACTGTTGTGAATAAACGAGAGAAAAATGAACTTTCCAAGTTGGCGAGGTTAAGTGTTTGTGGCTACCACAATCACCACTGCCTCCACTCCCAACGTGAGGGCCACGGAGCCCGGCTTGGGGAGCATCTGCGGAGCACCTGAAATAATGTATAAAAAGGCACGTGATGGCATCTTTCTGGGGTGAGGATCGATAGCTCTTAAAGAGGTCTGGGACCCAACAAAGTTGAAGACCCATCCCTGACACTTTTGATATGAGTTAGCTGAGACCCAAGCTCATACAGCTTGCCAGAGGCAGAGCCAGATGTGGGGCCCTGATCATCCACCCTCCATGCTCCCTGCTGCCTTTCCAGGTCAGGTGAGGGGAAGGAAGATTTAGGAGAGATCGGGGAGGGAGAGCAGCCAGAGGCGGAGCCCCAAGTCCTGTTGGGTGTAGGGCTCCTGCCCCCTCTCTGTTAACTGGATAAGGACACCAGGGCGGAGGGAGGGGAGCTGCGGGACAGGCGGATGAGGGAGCCCCAGGATGGGGGAGGCCTGGAAACCCTTCCTGGAAGCACAGCTGCTGAATCAGGGAGTCATCCTCCCAGCCTCTCTTTCCCAGCAAACCCCCTTCCCCGTAAAGGACCCAGAGGAGGGACTAGAACCTGCTCTCTGACAACATCTTGAGATGACTTTTCTGGTTCCCCATTTCCGCTTTTGGAAAAGTTGAAGATACCATGTCAAAACTTTATGGAAAACTGTGAAAGGCCATACACAAGTGAAAAGCAGTCATCACCCAAAGATGCAGTTTATTGAGCAACTCCTGAGTGCCAGACACATGCCAGATGCTTTGCCTAACTCGGCATAAATGTCACCCCTTCAAGAGGCCTTCCCTGACTACCTGTTTGAAGCAAATCCTCTTCTCTCCCTCCCCCTTCAGTTACCCTCGCATTCAGTGCTTCTTTCCTGCCTCCCACTTCCTGTAACTTTCGATGTTTCTGTGTGCTCTTTTCACCCTCTCCTCCACTGGGCTATAATCTCGCCGTGGGCAGGAGTCCTGTCCGTGCACTGACTGCTGTCTATCATGCTAAGCATAGTGCCTGCCATCTAGCAGCCACTCAAATACTTGTTCCACGAATTCATGACCATCTCCAATCTTCACAACAGCCTTATGAGGTAGTTATTATTATCATGCCTAGTGTGCAGAAGAAACTGAGGTTCCGAGAGTCAAAGACACTTGCTTAAGGACACAGTTTGTTATCACCAGACCTCAGCTCTGCCCTTTTCCCTTGATGGATTTGGAGAACAAAAGAACTTAAGTTCAGGCCCCATAAAATGGCTCACCAGTCACCATGCCCTGCTCAGCCGCCCCCAGCTGAGCTCTCTCAACCTCTCGCGCCCCAGGAGCTCCGAGGCATCAATCCTGTGCAAACCGGCTTTTTTCTTTACCAAGCCAAGTGAGAGCCAGTCCTTCCCCACCCACCCCAGAGCAACCTACAGCTGGGAACACACGCCCCACCCCTCCTCAACACAGTGGATAAATTAGTGAACTCTTTTATAAAACATTGTACAGGGAAAATACATACATATATATATAGAACTAGTGACAGCATTGGGGCAGGGTTCGCTTCTTGAACACAAGTAACCAGGTCCTGCCCCATCAAGGTGCCTGCCCAGCCCTGCACTCTCTTTCCCTGAAGTGGCTCACTTGCTGTCCCCATGAACTGGGACCTTGGCAGGTCACCACAAATCATAAAGGCCCATGGCCCACCAAGGCCTGAAGGCAGGGACGACAGACGGAGGAATATTATTTCCTGGTATGTTTGGTGACTGTATATCATCTGAATCAGGATTTTTTTGAAAGTGGAGAGGGGTCTCATTCTCTGGGAAACAGGCATAAACCAGGCCTGCCCAGGCAAGGGACGAACGGTCACCCTGCTGATTGGTCCCCTGCTCTGAACTGGCCCTGCCCTACCACTCCTGACTTTCCAAAACATGGCCTGTTGGCAGCGGAGATCTCGCAGACAGTATTTCCCATCTCTGCCACCTCTCACTCTCCATGGCCTTGCAGCACCTGGGCTACACACTTTAAGGCTTTTGGTGTTGAGCCCCAGGCCTCCTGACTCCTTGAGCCTGATCCCAAAGTCACAGCTGCCTGGGGCTAAGTGGAGAGTACGCCTTAATCCTCAGTTTCCTACTCCAAACTTGCCAAGCCTTTTCTCTCTGGGCCTCCCTGTAGTGAAGTCCAGGCCAGCGAGATGAGCCATCCGTTCCCCATCCCTGCCCTTGGCCGATCAATGAAAAGCACTCTCTGGTACATTCTCCACATGTTCTGTAGGCACATTCCTGGTCCCACCTTCTATGCTAGGAACTCCAGGGTTCACCTCTTGGGGTGGCAACAGGTAGATGCTAGAGAGGTCAGCCTATAGTGCCCTTCACCCTCATGTGGACAGCCCTCCGTGAGGGCCCGACAGGCGACCAGAGCCACCCCAGGATGGGTTCCCATTCAAATTTAATGCCCCACCCCTTGCTTTTAGAACCTGTTCAGTAGGCTGTGCTTGTAAAACTGCTTTAAATAAGCCTTGCTAGAGCAAACAGTACCAGATAGCAGAAAATCAGGCTCCAGGCTCTCCAAGGTGCCTCCTCTCTTCCCTCTTTGCCCCTCCCACCCCCATCCGCAGACAGTCCGCAGCACACCGGGAAACAGAGGTCCGTCCACTCTTGATCTTCCTGGAGCCACCGCTTCTCGTTCGTTGTCCATCTCCCTGCCTTCGGGGAACAAAGGCTCCTCTGTGTCTGAGTCAGGCTGCCTATCTCCTGCTGCGTCCCTCCACCCCCACGAAAACAAGGGTCCCAATCTGAGCCTTTGGAGTAGAGCTGCCCGAACCCTGGGCTCAGGACGGGGCATTCCGGTGGGCTCCTGAGTAGGCATAGGAGATGGGGTGGCGGGTCCCAGGCCTCACGGTGAACGTGTTGATGGGGCTTCTATAGTGGGGGGTGCTGCGGGGAGACCTGGTGGGGAGCAGAGAGAAGTGGGGTGAATCTTTGCAGCTGGGTCACTAACCCCGACCCCAGGTGGGACTCCAACCCGCCAGTATTGATTCACCAGACCCAGGACTCCCCTCCTGTTCAGGTCCTGGCGGCCACAGAGCACCACATCATGCCCTCCTACCCAGAACCCTTCATTCCTGGCCTGGCTCTGGCTCCTTCTGTGTTGCTGGGAAATCCCAGCACCCAGGGACCACTCAGATCTCCCTCCACCCCACACTTAGCCTGAAGCCCTGGGACTCCAGTGGGTGGGAGAAAGGAGGGAGAAGAGGAAGCAAGAGGATGGGAAAAGCAAGAAAAAGGGAAGTCAAGGGAGATGAGGGAGATCAAATGTGCCTTGGACTGATGGCCTGGTCCAAGGACGGTCTCCACCTCACCTGACTGCCGGCGCCGCGCCCTCTCCATCACCCTCCGTTGCCCCTGCCCCCAGCTCACCTTCCGGTAGCGGTAGCAGAGGGGAGAACGCGGTCACCAATGGGACCTTTGCCCGGAGCTTTGAACTTGGCCTCCACGCGAGCCGAACCCTCCAGCGACATCCTCCGCGCTCCCAGGCCGCCGGGGCGAGCTCGGCCCGCAGAGTTGACGCGCCGCACCTCCGGGCCTCCGGGCGCCCCGGGCTGCGTCCCACAGCAGTTGGGGGAGCTCAGGCTGCGGCCGCTGCCCCCGCGGGACAGCCCGGGGCTGCGGTGGGGCTCGCCGACATACAGGCGCTTCTTGATGAGCGAGCGGCTCCCCCTCGAGAAGCGCTCCAGGCCTCCGGCCCCCGAGTAGCGCTCACCCCCCAGAAAACGCGCCGAGGCTGCGGGGCCCACGTCCAGGGGCTTCCCCAAGTTTGAAAATTTGTTCCCGGGAGGGGAGCCCCCGCGGCCCAGATACTGGAGGGCCGGGGCTGGGGGCTCAGGGTCATTGCTGAACTCTGGCGGTGGTGGGATGACCTCAAAGCTAAACTTCTCCTCCTGACCCTTGAAGGAAGGAGAAGAAGGCGAGGAGAAGGACTTGGGCAACAGGTGGCCCTGGGGGACGCTGGAGGACGCTGGTCTTTCCCAGGCCGCGCGGGCCGGGGGCTCCGCCTTGGTCCACTTGTGTCCTCGGCTTGGCTCCGTGCCCTCTGGGTCTCTGTCCCACTGGGCCTTCCATGAATGGGGAATGGTGGGCTGTACTGAGGAGGCCAGCTGGGGGTCCTTCTCAGCCTCCGTGGGTACCCTGGGGACCACAGTGAAGGAGTTGGGCCGGCCGTCCTTGAGGAAGATGCTGTCAGAGCTTGCCTGGGGCGGGTCGCTGTGGCCACGGAGACTCCCTGGCAGGGAGGACCGACTCAGGCCAGCCCCTCGAGACCGCCCCTTCTGGGCCCTCTGCCTGGCTGCAAGGAGCAGGGCCATCGGGGAGCCCCGCTCCACCACCTCGCCGGTCACCGGGTGTCTGAGGAGTTCGTCAGCAAGCTGGGCTGAAGCTAGGGGTTTAGCTGGCAGCCCCTGGGGCTCCTTCGCATCCACAGGCTCCCCTGACCTGGCAGCCTCTCCTCTGGCCATGGTGGGCATCACCACGGCAACCTCTTGGCTGGCGCTGTTCTCTACGTGAGGCCTATAGAAAGATGTCGCTTCTCTGCCAGGGGCTATCTTGGGTGGGAGGGCTGGAGATGAGAGGGCTCCCTGTGTGGGAAGCTTACTGGCCTCTGAGGGGCGCCCTTCTGCCTCTGGCTGGGAAGGCACCGCAAATTCTTGAGGTTCTGGTTTTTTCCACTGCTCAGCTGGGGCTAGGTTCTTCTCCGCTGTCTGCTGGAATGATGTGGTGGGCAGAGTTGTTGCTGCGGACGGTACGGCGGGCCCAGGCCCAGCCTTGGGTGGTGTGGCTGGCCCAGGTGTAGCTGGTCCGGATGCGGCTGGTCCAGGTGTGGCCTTGGGTGGCATGGCTGGCCCACTCGTGACTGTAGCAGGTGTGGAGTTGGGTGGTGTAGCTGGTCCAGACGTGGCCTTGGACTGGTGTGGTGTCGTTGGCAGAGGGGTGGTGGAAAATGGTGGTATATTCTTGGCCACAGGTTTGGAGAATTGGCCATTATCAGCTCTGTTTTCAAAGATTCTTCCCCCTTCTAGCCGAGGTTTAGGGGGCAGAGACCCTTTGCCGGGCTTGGATTCCTTCTCTGCTAAGGAAAGCCGGGCTTCCAGCTCATTCCGGATCTGCTGGACCCTGGGAGTCGGAGAGTCCTGGGGAATGTAGTCCACAGGGGGCAGGGGCAGGCTGGCAGTAGCCTCTCTCTCTGGACTGCGACTCTTCTCAGGATCACTCGGGGGGGCCCCCTTCTCTGGCAGGCTGGGGGGAGCCTCCTTCTTCGGCAGGCTGGGGCTCTTCTTGCCCTCCTTTCCCTGAGAGGCCGCCATTGGGCCTGGCCGGTGACTGTTATGCTGGTCCTCTCTCCTGGACCCAAAGAGGTAGGCTGCCAGCTCGCTCCGAAGCTTTGCCATCTGGGTGGGGTCCCGCCAGTCCACAGGCTCTGAAGAGGCTGTGTCCTCTGGGCTGGGGGGGTTGGGTTTGGGTTTGGGAGCAGGGGAGCTAGATTTGGGGCTTTTCATAAACCTAGCAGGTGGAGGAGCCATCTTCTCATCAGAAGGCAAAGGAGGGGCAGCTGGGGGAAGGGAGGTTGTTGGGGGAGGGAGCAGGGATGCTGAGGGAAGAGGGGGTGCTGGGGGAGGCAGCGGGGGTGCTGGCGGAGGGAGTGGGGGTGCTGGGGGAGGGGGCGGGGCTGTGGGAATGGGCAGGGGAGAGGCTGGGGATAGAGTTTCAGCTTGTTCATTTGTTGGGGTCTGGGACTGGCTCAGCCTCGGGCTGGCAGGTGCCGCAGTACTGCGCTCCCCGGGGCCATCTGGTTCAGGGGCCCTATCTGGGTAGACCTGGGATGCGGGGCGGATGTGGAAGTTGGGAGGCAGAGGGAGTCGACCGGGGGCCTTCTTGGTGGTCCCTTCCTCCTCTGGAGGAGACCCTTGTGCTTCCTGAGCCGGGATGGATGAAGTCCTGACTGGGGTTGGGGGAGGCACCTTGAACGAACGGGGAAAGGTGAGGTGGGGCTCTGATTTAGGTCCCAGAGGGCTCCCCTTTGGCTCAGCAGGGCTCCTGGGGGGGCTGGTTCTGGGGGCCTCTGGCTGCTTGCCATTTAGTGCTACATCTGATTTCCATTTGGTGACACCGGCAGGGGGAAAGAGGTGAGTGCTCTTCATATGAGGAGACACTGGAGCTGGGGGTGCTGGGGCTGGCATAGGGGGTGGGGGTGGGGCTAGAAAGGCCAAGGGCGGGGCAGGGGGAATGAAATCAGGAGGGGTGGGTGTGGATGGAGGGGACAGGGCCCCCAGGACTGGGGGTGGAGGTGGGGCCATGCTGGGTGGGGGCGGGGGTTCCAGCCGCAGGGCAGGTGGTAGGGAAGCCCTGGAAGGTGGTGGTGATGGTGGGGATGCCCCTCGAGGTTGCGAGGTGTCTGGGGGTGGCCCTGGGGGTGGCCCTGGGGCCGGGCCTGGGGGAGGCGGGGGGATGAGCAGGTCCTGGCCATAGTGCCCAGGCCGTAGGTCACCCACAGAGCTGTATAGCCGGAGGTTGCCATTGACTAGTGAGCTGGCACCTGGAAGGAGGGAGAGATAAAGATGAGGAGGTATGAGGCCGACCAGACGTGGCAATCTCTGTGTGCCCGGGGCTCGGCAGGGTGGGCGACCGCGACACAGACCGGCCAGGGTCATGCCTTTTCTCTTGAACACCAAGTGAGGGAGCAGCAATGTCTCCAATCTCCTGAGCTGTCCTGGGAGTGGCCCTCTTCTTTCTAGGGAAGGACACTTGCCTGTCCCTGGCCCAGACTCCAGAGACTACTGAATATCCTCCATTTGCTCCTGAGAGTCAAGTTCTACCACCCTTCTCTGCCCTGCTCACACTCTGGTATATCATCCCTTTACCAAATCTATTCAGTTACTCACTTACCATCTGTTTCTTACAGGGGCTTTGACTGGTATAAAGCCAGAAAGATCAGGGTTCAAATCCCAGCCCTACCACTTACCAAATGTGTGACCTTGGACACACTGATTAATCTTGCTGAGCCTCAGTTTTATCATCTCTAAAATACGCATAATATCAGTGCTCACCTCATAAAGCTACTGTGAGGATTAAATAAGAGAATTCATGTAAATCCACGTAAAGGGCATATCACGGTGGTAGGCCCATAGTAGGCATTTCATGAATGGTAACCACTTTGATCACTACGACCTGTGCTCGACGCTTCAGACTGGGTAAGACAGACAGGGAATGAAAGAGAGAGGAAGTCCTGGATCACAGGCAGGGTCCTGGAGACCAACTTAGTAAGGAAGTTTAGGTGAAAGTTGGGGAGAGAGTACTTTTCTGTTTTCTAAAGACCCTGAATCTACCAAGAGGTCAGCTTTCCACCTCACAAAGAATTTCTGGAACAGATACTGGACTGTGGGAGGGAATGGGGGTGTGTAGGAAGGTGACTGGGACAACCTGGCACTAGAGAGATGCTGAGCAATCTGGGCCAGTGGCTCACACCCGTCCTTCGGGAACCCAGGCCCAGCTTCTCCCTAGCGTCTGCGGACAGCCAGGGTACCCTGGTTGCTTCTGTCTTAAGGCACCCCTCCCTCCCATCCCCTCCTCCCAGTTTCTAGCACAGAGCTGACCAGACCTGGGGGATGTGCCATTCTGAAGGGCTCCCCCAGCTGTCTGACTTCATAACAAAGAACAGAGGAGAGTGGGCAGGGGAAAATTGACACTCATCGACATCCTAACCTAACACCCCAAGTGATAGGAGCTAGGATAGAGCAGTAAAAAAAAAAAAAAAAAGGTAGTCAAAATAGTAGCCCTAGCTCTACTGGACATTATGCTTTAATGGGACAGAGACTGACCATGAACACAATACATTAGTAAATTATGACCACGTTAGAGGATGGGTAACATGAGGAAAAAACCCAGGAGGGCCAGGAGGGGTGCTGGACGTGCAGTCTGAATAGGGTGATCAGAGGAGACCTCCCTGAGAAGGTGGCCTTTGAGCAAAGAGGGAAGGAGTGAGGGCGAGAGCTGTTCCTATGTCCAGGGGTAGAGCAGTCTAGGCAGAGGGACGTACCGTGCAAACACCCTGGGGTGCAGACATGCCTGGGTGCTGAGGGCACAGCAAGGAGAGCAGGCTGGCAGAGTGTGAGCCAGGGAAGGAAGCAGGCCAGGAGGCCAGGTGAGGCCAGATTCTGGCAGTCCTGGCAAGTACCTTTTTTTTTGAGTGTCACGGAAAGTCACTGGCAGATTTTGAGTAAGAGGTGTGACAAGAAGTGATTTACATCCCAGCCAGCACTTCATAACCCCATAGCTGGAATTGTCTTTCCCATTGCGCATGTGAACATACGGATGTGCCAGGGGTTAAGTGGTTTCCCAAGGGAGCAAAGCTAACGTGTGGGGGACCTGGGATTCAAAGCCAGCTCTTTCCGACTCCAGGGTTCTTTCTCCCACTCCATGCTGCCCTTGCTCCCGCCCTGGCCTTCACCCTGCACCGCCCTTCCGCCTCTGGAAGGAGGCCTTACCCAACCCTGGCTCTCCTCAGATCCCACCCATGGCAGCCATAGCCAAGAAACCTGGTTTATCCCCAGTTGGGGAGGTGGGGCAGACACTTGGGCTTAAAGATGAAAGAAAGATGAACAAGCCTCAAACCCAGGGTCCTCTTACCTGTCACTTCTTTGTCTGCAAAGTCTTCTGGGACAGAGGGGGTAGGCACAGCCAGTCCATGGTTCTCCTGGGCATTCTGCAGGAGAGCAGAGAGATCAGGGGACAAGCAAAGGCGGGACCGGTGATTCTCACATCGCTGCTGTGTGAGGCCATTTTACTGCTGTGAAGGTGATGGGTGCACAACCTTGCGAGCATACTTAAGGACAAAGGGGCTCATTTAAAAAGGTGAATGTTGCCCTGGCTGGTGTGGCTCAGTGGCCTGAGCACCAACATGCGAACCAAAGGGTCCCAGTTTGATTCTCAGGCAGGGCACATGCCTGGGTTGTGGGCCAGATCCCTGGTAGGGGGTACACCAGAGGTAACCACACATTGGTGTTTCTCCCCCTCTCTTTCTCCCTCTCTTCCCCTCTGTCTAGAAATGAATAAATAAAACCTTTCTTTTAAAAATGTGAATGTTACAACACAGTCAAGTTTTGTTATTCATGGCAATTATGATCTGTGAAGTTGCCTCAAGGGAACTGCAAGGTTAGGTTCCTGCAAACCTTAGTCACAGAATTTTCGTTAATGGATCAATACAGAACCTTGTTTTATGTGTGTTTCTGTTTGAAGACACCTTATTTAATATGTATTGTTGACCTGTTGACATAGAGCTCGTGGCCGACAGCACTCCAACTCATGCCTGAATGAAGCATATTTTCTCCCCAAGGCTCATCACAGGCTCCCTGCTTTTGGGAGCCTTAGACAGCACTTCAGCGCTATGCTTGAGCGCCATTGGAAACCGTGAAATCACTAGCAAAAAGCACAGAAATACAAAAAGTATGGCATTAAACAGAAAAGGACACTTGTTTACAGCATGAGGGCTGAAACGAGAAGCAAAATGTCATCTTATTGGACTTCAGTTGGGAAGGCATGCTCCGGGTGAATGAAATTTTTACCCCTCTACCTCTACACATGTCCAAAGCATCTTGAGCATTGATTTGGGGGCAGCAAATAAATTTCAGTGAGTAGGTGATTTTCCAAATATAAATTTACAAATAATGAGAATCAACTGTTATGAATTATACCTCAATTTAAACAAAATAAAATTGAATAAACAAAAAATCTGCCATGACACTGGTGGATGACCACAAGTTAAAAGTCAACCTCCACAGCCTGGTCCCCAGCTCACCCTTAGTTTTTATTAGGGAGTTACAGAAAAATAAATAAGTAAAAAGGGCCAAAATGGAGCATTTACAGCACAGCAATGCACTTCTGGTCTCTAAGCTTAACAAGTGTAATGTGTTTATGTAGCTGTCAGTTTGTACATATTAATTTGCATTCCACTTCTTTTCTCCAAACACACATTTCCATATGTCAACAAAGTCCTCACACTTGCCCTTTGAAGACTGTAGAGCATTTTAGTGCAGCGTTCAAGGTCCTCAACCACCTGGCCTCATACTTCCTGGACAACTTTTATTTCCCACTCACCTGTTATCTCCATCCCGCACGCTTGACCGACGCCCTCCCAGCACCCTGCCAACCCACTCACACAGTTCACATTCATGCCTGATGCTGCGGTTGGTCAGGCTGCGACCCTCTTCCCACCCTCCATTTCTAACAATAGTATCCCTTGCGCTGTGCTCTAAACATGATTCCGGTTGCACCAGGCTGTGCACTCATGGGCTGATGGCGCTAACCCTCTGAGCTTCATGGCTTAATATACAAGAAGAGGGATTCAAGGCAGATAGATAGTTTAGAAATATCCACAAGGTCCTGGGTTGCCAAAGGTAATCTCAAAATTACTCTTTGGTCTTTTGGAGGTGACAAACATCTTCCTATCCTTAAAGAACTCTGCAGCTGGAACGGCCTTAAGTCATCATCAAGTCTCTTTTTCTGCTTGTACTTGATGCGCATGACCACCACATACCTACTCTTGACATCTGTCAAAACAGTGATTATGACCCAGGGGCAGGTAGAGGGAGCAGCCACTCCATGCACACACACACACACACACACACACACACACCACTGGTGTCTAATAACACACATTAAGTATGTACGCTCAGATTTTGATGAGCTGGAGGACTGGCCTTCCAAAGCCAGGTTGAGATCTCTGATTACTCTTTTGCACATAACTGGAAAGTAGAAAGGCTTGGGACTCAGCATCAAAATTCATGCTTTGAAGTTTGCCTACAACGTGATGTCTGAGGAGCAGTGGTGAGGCAGGATAGGGACAATGGTGTTAATCTCTCATTTCTGCACCTACTGTGTGCCAGCACTATACTGAGCGCTTCACCCTTGTTATCTCAAGTCCCTTAACAGGTCAGGGCGCAAGCCTAGGCCTCCCAGTTCATCCTTTCTACAAATCACTGAGAGCAATTTTATTCACTTATAAAATGGAGATCATACTTCCTACTCTGCAGGGTCATTATGAGAATCAAATGAGATAATATTCCTGGCCCAGGAAGTCAGTGCTAGTTGAGGGATTATGTCATCCGGTCCTCTCCCCAACAAACGTCAAAACATTGAACAAGGAAAGCTAAGCTTCCTGGAACCCTGGAAGCACCTTCTGGGTCACCCAGAGTGCTTAAGTATAATTATATGTGGAGGGGGGAGACAGACGGATTTCATGGGCCAGAGAAGTAATACTGCTCACCCAAGCTTTGATCCTAAAGAACTATGGAGATGCACTAGACTCCCAAGGCCACAGGATGGAAGTCTGTCTCCTGAAGCAGCCCGGAGCAGCAGCCCAGGCAGAGCTCAGGCTATTTCAGGTCCCCACACACAACAGGTCCCAGGACACACTCACTACCTCACCGCAGTGCGTGAGGCGCTGTGGCACTCCACTGTCTACCACCCTTGGGGCTGGTCCCAAAGTCCAGCCTCATTCTTTTAGGAGCTCCCAGGACTGAACTGAACACAGCCCCACATCTCCCAACCCCAGCCGGCCCCACTCTGTCCCACTTGTGCCCACACAGACTCTGGTGGCTCATTTAGCTGTCCCTACTCCCACGTTGTGTATTCAGAGAAGGCAAATACCTAGTCATTTTTAAATTAATCCTAGAAAAACAGACCCGGAAGGTGAGCGCCCCTCACTCTCCACAGGACACAGGCAGCTGGCATCGAGTGGACTGGCCTGGATGGTAACATGTTTAGTGTGCAAACGCACAGGCATGGGCGGCGTCCACCTCCATGGGCGCGCAACCTCCTGACCTGCGTCTCTTAGCCTCAGAAAATCGAGGGAAAGAAGAGGGCTTGGAGGTGACACCAAATGCAGTGCAAATGCATAAATCCCTGGACTGGAACCTGGGATGGGAGGGGTATGGCATGAAGGACATTAACGGGACGATTGGCAGTAATTGAATATATATTAAGGCATATTAGACAATAGTATTGTATCGACATTAAATTCCTGGGTTTGATCATTGTACAGAGAAACCGCTGTTCTTAGGTAACGCGCCCTGAAGTAGAAGTAAAGGGGCATGGTGTTTCAACTTACTCCAGTGGTTCGGGAGGAACAGCTTACATATCAAGAGAAAGAGGGAATGAATGAAGCCAATGTGGCAAAATGCGGTAAACCTGGGTGAAGGCTCTAGGAAGTTTCTGAGCCCTTTCTGCAACTTTTCTGCACATTAGGATTGGTCAGAGGGAAAAATTACTTAATATCATTGAACTGTACATTTAAAAATGGTTAAAACAGCCCTGGCTGGTATGGCTCAGTGGATTGCACACTGGCCTGTGAACCGAAAGGTTGCTGGTTTGATTCCCAGTCAGGTACATGCCTGGATTGTTGGCCAGGTCCCCCATTGCGGCGTGTGCAAGAGGCAACAGATCAATGTATCTTTCACACATTGATGCTTCTCTCCTTCCCTTCCCCTCTCTCTAAAAGTAAGTAAATAAAATCTTTAAAAAATAAGTTAAATAAAAACCCAATTCATCTTTAAAAATTGGTTAAAACAATAAGTTTTATGTTATGTGTGTCTTATAATTTAAAAAACATAAGCAAAACAATGACAAGAATATCGAAAGGGAGAGTGTTGCGGGAGAGAGCTTATCCATCCACTGGTCATCAGCGCGTCACGTGCCCCCTTTATCCCACCCCCCAATACTCCCAATCTTAACAGTAATAACAGCTGCTACTTTCCTAGCACTCACTGTACCAGGTACACTTTCTGCATTTTCCATTTCTTAACTCATTTACTTTTTACAACGACCCAATGAGATAGGTACTATTATTGTCACCTCTGTTTTTACAGATAAGAAACTAAGGCACACAGAGGTGAAGTGTCTTTCAGGCACCTGGTTGTCACCCGTGCACCCAGCTTGTCATAAAGCTCTCCTTGGCAACAAAGAATCATCTGACACTCGACCCACAGGTAGGCTGGGCTGGGGCAGCCCGACTTAATTTCTCTCTCCTGTATGTTACCCTGTGTGCTGACACTGATTAGGTGCCTACTATGTGCTAGCCACCTTTCCGAGTATGTCCCATGTAGCAACCCATTTTGTCTTCACGGTAACCTTGAGAGTCACTTTATTGTTTTTATTTTATAGATGAGGAAACTGAGGCACAGAGAGGCTAAATACACTGCCCAAGGGCACACAGCTGGTGAGGGGCAGGGCCCCTCAGAGCCTGCTGCCTGCGCCACTGTGGCACTGGCCCCACACTCTTCCTCTAGCACAAATTGGGCCTCTGGTGGGCAACTGCAGATTTTGCTACCCCAACCCAGCCCAGCCTACTTGTGGGCAACAGCTGATTCTTTGTACATGCCTGGCACAGACTGGCAATTCAACAAATGTTTGTTGAGTGAATAAATTCCTGGATGAATGAATGAGGGGTAGAAAGAACATAGAGTGGAGAGGCAGACAATCTGTGTTTGAGGGCCAGCTCCACCGCCCATTAACTTGAAGCAAAGCCGGGTCTCTCTCTGGGCTGCCTTGCCTCTGCTGTGCACACTCTCTTAGGGTCCCTTCTGCCACGGTGTTCTGTAAGTCTAGGCCCATGAGGTGTCCTGTCTGTGACTTAGCTCACCTATGCCATGTAGGTGGTGACCTGGCCACTCAGGGCCACCCCTTGATGACAGGGTGTTGGGACAGACT